AGGAGACGATGATGTGTAGTATTTTATATTATCTTCTAACCTGTTGAAAATGAAGAGAATTCGATAAAATGATTTATTCAATCATTTAATATAAAATATGATATGAGATTTCTAACAGTAAAAATTGATTTCCATCATTTTTATGTTACAATTGTAAAGAAAACAAAAAGTTAGAAATGTCAAAGTTAAAGATTATTTCTTTTTCTTTTATTAGAAAAATATAACTGCCTGCACGTCAGTACACATAAAGAGTAGTAGTTAAATTAATTGAAATAGAAAATCATGTTGACTTACTTTGCACAAATACTAATGCAATTTCATCCTCAATGAGAAAGAAAAAAGATGTTATATTATAATACTTACTTAAGAACTTACTCTATTTTTTGACACGGTTCACATAATGTAATTCAACAAATCAAATGAGAAGAATAAAGAAGAAAAAAAAACGGTTTGACTCGCACATCGTGACGTTGTCGATTGTATGTACGTATGTGTATGTGTATGTATCATATATACAGAAAACAAAATATTACGGAAGATGATGTAAAGCTGACAAACCGTTACACGATTATCAGAGCACATACATTAATACGGGTCGTTTCCTATGCAGACACATAATCTTAATTAGCTATATATATATGTTTGTGTATGTTTTGTGAACAAGACAAGAGATAAAGAAAAATAGTCGCACGCCATAGCTATCATCACCCACATCTATTTACTAGTCAACTGATTAGCAACAAGAAAACATAAAAACTACCATCAGTTTAGTTCAAAGTATCCGCTAAGTAGTCACTTTGCTTCTTTTCTTTTTAGGCTGATTCATTTTTCCGTTTACCTACGTGTAACAATAATAATAGTAAGCAGTAAGAGTCTGTCGTCTCGATTGACCAATTTTGAGAGTATGTTCAAATAACATACACAATCAAAACGTTTCGTTGTGGTTTAATCGTTAATATATGGCGCAATTTGTATGAAGGAGAACGAATGAACAATCAATTTCGAACTATCATCTATTGACAAGCGCGAGAGAGAACGACCAATTCTTCTTCGTTTTACACTTTCTATCTAGCCGCAAGACATTTGATAATGTGAATGAATGAACGTGAGAGTATGTGTATATATGTATACTTTTAACGTTTCTTTCTTTCGTTATTCTTGATTTTGATCAAATTAGAAAAGGAAAATAACACATAAAAGAAAACAATAATATTCATTCGAACAATTTTTAGTTATGGTCAATTGTTAATCGAGCATTGTTTATTGTATATAAAAACAAAAATACTAATTCTATTCATAAAAGTAAATTAACCTTCATCTCATTTATATTCTCAAATAAAAGTAAAAAAGAATGAACTGTTGACATCATATTGCGAAATTTCTTTCATCGATCTTCTATTTTTCACATGATGGATCAGTTTGTCTTCGTTCGATGTCTACTATCACACGTACATGCATGTGTTCACTTATTGACTGGACTTGTATATATATATATATTTATATTTATATATATATAACGCCTGTCAAAAGGTTAAAATCTACTTCCCTTAAACATTATTATTGACTGAAAGAAAAAAAAAAAGTCATCTATGTAATAACTTTGAACAATATTTCATCTAATCTAATCATCATTGAATTCTATCAGTAACAGCAATTGTTGACCTTACAGATGAACGTTTGTCGGAGTACTATCAAACTTCTTTATCCATTATATTAACATTTATCTTTGTCTGTTCTATTGTCAATCAATCGAATAAGAGAATTCGATACTATATGTATGTTGAGATTTATTAATTCAGATCCTATCATAGCTTCCGATTCCATAGATGGATAATACTATGTATACAATCTATTTGTTGATGTTCAATGTAAAATGAGAGTGACATTTCGCTAAAAGGATCATGAAGCGACAGAAAAAAAAAACAAGTGAAGACATTAAATTTTTACATTCTATTACTATTATTTTAATGTCATTATTATAAATGTTCAATCATATTCACTTTTTTTGATTATAAATAAGTTTATCGATCTGTTGTTATCAATTTGAATTTAACATACAATCTGCTGGTTGAGTTTGAAAATGGTTTTCTTTATTCAATATTATTCAAGTTTATATTCTAATAATTCATTGTTTTTCGTATACCAAAAAATTGTATGCCAACATTTGAATAGATATATACGTTGTGTTTCATTCGGGAATTTTTTTTGAACGTAATTACTATTAATTATGAATTTGAAATATTTATTGGACTGTTTATATTTAAAAATAAAATTGTCGTGTTTACTTGAATTTAATGAGTCTTAGCTTTTATCGTTAAATTATCTAATTGTAATAAAATTTATATCAATTGTCTTGAATGATTTTTTTTTCTTTCGTGACAATATGTAATGTGTTATACTACATTTTTGTATTTAACTAGAATAAAAAATATTCTCGAATGAAGCATATTTTACATCGACAACACCTCTGTCAAACAAGAATGCTAATGAATATAGAGTAACGAAGAGTTAGTAGTGATGAATGTTAATAACAGAAAAAATAGAACTCATTGACATTTCTATGTCTATATATCAAAAATGTGCATTTTTTTTTTGTGTTTGATTCGGTTAGTTCTAAATAAACATTTTATTTAATTTTTTTATTGGTAAATTGAACTCTTTGATATTTATAAATTGTATTCGAATTTTATTTGTACAATAATGAATAAAGATTTTTTGGACGATTTGTTTCGAGTATAAATTTCTTATAAAGTTAATTGTTGAGATGTGATTTACATCATAATTACTGTCAGTATTTTTATACTACATCCACAGAAAATTTCATCTCTAGATGCTAATTCATAGTGCAAGTAGACGTATAATAATCCGGAATAGTTAATTTTTGTTCGGCCAATTTTTTTTTTTTTTATAATCTTTTAAATTGCGGTATTATTGTTTTTCACAATTGTTCAAACATATTGATCGAAAGAGCAAAATAAGAGCTACATTTTGATATCTAAAACTTTCTAAAAACAAGATGTGTATAAAGTAAAATACTTATTTTATGAGACTTCACGTAAACTTTTTATTATTTTTATATAATGAGTAATTTTTCTTTTATCTCATGCAGTGTTAGACGCTCTTTCAAATATAATAGTTGAAAAGAAAAACTATTCATTAATATAAAAATGATAAAGAGTTCACATGAAGTCTGTCATAAAATAAGTATGTCACTTTATAGACATCTTATGTTTTTAGAAAGTTTTTCTCATAAAACTGTTCTCCATGTTTTACTCTTTTGATTCATATGGTTTAAATTCTTTTGAATGATTGTAAAAAAATTAACTCAATTTAAAAGATCATCTAAAAATACTTGCTTATTATTCGTCTAATGGGGAAAACTATTCGAATCAACCAACTAGTTTTAAGTTCGTATTGTAGGTATGTAAAGAGAACTTGTCAACAAAAATACGCACAATGAAATTCAAGTCTATATATGTTTTCGACAGAGCTACAACAGTTTTACTGGATTTTATCATACGAAAAGATCAAGGCTCTCAATAGTTTTTCGAACTAAAAGAGAGTAAAACTCTGATAGGCAATTGAAGATAGTTTGTTCAGACAAAGTATGATTGAAAAAGCTGTCTTCTCAAATTTGACAGAGAACTTTTTAACAACAGCTCATAACTTTCAAACATACGACGTAAAAACTAGGAGATGGAAGACTAGTCTAATCCAACCCCTTTGGGACCAAGATCTGTGGATACAATAGTGAAAAAAATTTTGAATGAAAAATCTTTGACCTAAAGTTTGCTTGATTACTAAATCTTATGATCGTAAGAATATCCTAAAAGTGTTAGTCAAAATGATAGTACGTTTCTTGAAATATTCAATACTAAAAAAACTAACAATTCTTCTGACTACTTCTTGACTTTATTCAATTTTTGAACATTGAATACTTTAAAAAGCATACCATTACTTCCAATGAAATGTTAAATCGAATTTCATGGTCAAAATTCTTTTGTTGAATTGTTCAGTCCATATCCAATCTTGTCGTAAAAATCTGACAAAATTGTCGTGAATCTGTAGATAAAGCCAATGAGTTAGAATATCCTTCAGGATTTATTCTAGCCAATATATTCTTAAAATATGCATTCAAAAATTGATGAATTACTTCAAGAAGTTTCCTCATACGAAGAAATTAGCTAAAAATCTTTGATCAATAAAACATCTATTTTGCACGAAACATAGATGTAAATATACCAAAATATTGAGCTTTCACAGTCTTAATCAAATATTTTACTTGATAATTTTCTTCCAACAAGATTATTTGTAGTTTTTGAAATTTAAACTCTATAAAACTAAACATAGTTCATCTTGGACTAATTACAAATAGTTATTTTGATAATTCTATCATTAGCAATGTTTGATAAATCAAGGAAAATTGCGTTGATAAAAAGGTTCATCACGTATAGGTACATATTCAAATGCTTCTGACTAATTAGAGAACCATAGTAAGTTCTATAACTTCTAAGGTAAAAATGAAGTCAATATGACTGTAAGGATAATATTATAAAAGCGCTTTCAAGGACTCTTTCTTTTTAAATGAAAAACATTAATCTTCATAAAGTATTCTTCCGTCCGCTGATGCATCTCAGAATCCTGAGAGTGTTTGTAATAAATTATATATTTGTTGTTAGATCAGACATTGATCTTGCATTCATAGTTAATAGTTTTTTTTATTTAACATGAGGACGATGTCCTTTTTCTTTTGTCGTTCGGATTATTTATATCTAGAACTGTATAATTATATTCTGTTCTATCAATTTTTGAAACAGCTCTTCTATAAGAATATTGAAAATACAATCAATTGAATAAATGAAGTCGATTTTCTTAAGTTAAATATTTCAATAAGTTTTTATATTTAATCATGAAAGAATATGAATTACAAATATATATGTTTGATGATAAACAATATTTCTTTTTTCCTTTTGTTCATTTACCGTTGAAATTGCATTTTATTATACCGTATTAAATGGATAGCATTTTCGTGGATTTCGTTTTAAAATATGTTTGTAATATTCATGTTGTTGATATTGACCATATGAATAATCATTGTCATTTCTTTTTAATAATGTTTTAAAACAAATTTTAGGCCAAAGAACACTTCGTAGATCAATTTTATCATGTAAGATTAAGTCATCATCAATAGTTGATTGATCTTCTGTATCGATACGTGGATTTATATGATAACCATTAATCGAATTGATTATTATGAACAAAACTATAAGACAGAATAATTTGTTGTTTAAGGTAGGTGTCATATCGATATGAGTCGAAGTGTAAAATGAAATGGAAATGTAAGTTTCTGTATTTTTCTTTTCTCATTATTATTTATTTGGTTTCATCATATTCATATTTAGTTTTCTTATATGTTTAAGATTCATCAATGAATAATCTCAGAAAAGAGAGTGAGACTAGATTATTAGTAAAAAGCCAAAAAACAGAGTGAAATCTTTTTAAGTGTAGTTAACTTGTATGTAATGTTAGAGATATTGGTTTTTCTTTTCAAGGCTCTCATTGAATGACGTACTTAGAGTTCAGCAAAAGTTTTTTTCTAAATTTACTAAAAATAAACGAGGTATTTTTAATTTTATTTTTATTTAATGTTCAAAGTACTTATTGCATTAATTATTTTCAGAAAGTCTCGTTTTGTTTAACAGTTAGTTAAAAAGTTTTTTGAATTCTTTTTCTGAAAAATTTGTAAGTCGTTAGAAAATCCTATGATCAATCAATTAAACTACGTTCGATTTAATTAATTAAGTATTATGCTCATACATCGATCTTAACTCAAATCGTATAAAAATTTTTAAGACATGTTGTAGTTGTAGCGAAGAGTTTATGATAAAACGTTCAGTTTTATGCAATCATGTTTTTGGGATTTGGATTTTTTGTTTTGTTTAAAAGAGCATGGCAGGATTCTTTTTGTTTTTCTACATTCTTACTTTTTGATGGGAGATTAGAGATGAAAAGCTCAATGTCTTGAAAAATTCTAAGCAAATGGTGTTCTAAATTATTAAAGTACTCTTTTATATAAATAGTAATAATCTTTCAAACAAAAAGAAAAGTCGTTGGCTATAATGAAGTTTCTTCGAGAATTCCGGCATTCATGTCATTTGTGAAAGGTCAGACCTCAGGCTGTTCTCTTATGCATTTATCTCAATTTTTTGTGTTTTTGACAAAAATTAACTATTTTCAGGGGACCTTAACAACAAATTACATTGTGTCAGGTCTGATAAATATGGCAGATGGGACATTATGCTGATGGGTTCTTCTGTCAAAGAATTAATAATATTGAATTAGTATGAAATAAACGATGGTCTTCAAAACATTTTGCTCTTTTTTAGGCGCCTGATGTCTTTGTTTGTTGTCATATTTCGTTAACAAAAGGCTCTATGCTATTTTCCGCCTAATAAAGTTTTCCGTTCGAAACTATCCTAGTCAAAAATAGTCGTCAGCAAGTCATGCTCATTAATCCAATTAACATTAGGTGATTTGCAGTCAATCTATCTATAGTGATCCCATGCCTCATGATCTGTAATAGTATTGCATAGTTGTCAGGATTCATCAAGAAATAACACTAAATTTTCATAACAAGTTCAGCGTACTCTTATTAATATGAAGCATTGAGATGATGAACGATCTAACATTACATGACTTTTCTCATCTTTAGATAATCAGGAACAATACGTTCTATTGCAACATAAGAGAAGGAATTCATGTGATAAAAGTCATCCATCATAGTTCAATGTGCATTATATATTGTCGACCCGCTGAATCCATCTAAAACATCAACACAGCATGAAAATATCTCCTATGACCACTCAAAATACATGATACATTAAACATAAATATCATCCCGAAGCTGTATAAGTAACGACCTCTAAACATAGTTTTGCAGCAATGTCTATGGCCATTTTAGTTTTTGGACTCATTTCGATTTTGAATGAACACAAATATTGTTTATATGCTGAACTATGTTACGAGATATATTTTAATCTATGAAAAACGAGAAAAATGATGCTGTTTGCAGTTAATATAGAGTTCTTCTGTTTCTATGTGCCACTTATCGGCCATTGTGAGTGGTTAACGATAGTTTACCACAAAAACTAATCCGGCAGAAATAGAAATATCAATTATAAGACGGTTTATCATCTATCAGAGTTAGAAGTAGGCTCAATTAAATGCAAAAAATTTTCTATTACTATTTAAGTTTCAGTTTCTTCTGACAAATGACGGATTGTTAGAAGTTCAATCCATATTTTATTTTTGAGATACACAACAAGTAGGTAAAACTTTGTTTTTTTGGGTATAGTAAATTCTTATCATTATGTTTGGCAATCATTGTAACAACATCTACTACTGGACGATCCTTCAATATTATAAATTGAATAATAACATAGTTACGTTGTATGATGGCACAACAACGTTTGAATCATGTGAATTATTTCTCATATTCGCACAAAGAAAAATTAAACTTACTTGATTTGAATAGAATTTGTTCATGAATAATTCTATTTCTTCATGGCCTGTTTTTTTTAAGCATCATTTCTCTTTTATTTCATTAATTTCTAATTTCATTCGAAACAAAAAAAATATTAAATAGTTATTATATTTATACATACTTAAAATCTAACAAGAAATTTAATAATGCTTAGAATTATAAACAAATAAAGAAAACAACTTTTCAATCTGTTTTCAGGGCTGGTTTGACTGAAAAGTTGAACCTACTCTAACAGAAAATCGTTCCACCACTCTTCTGCTGTATATATTAATAAATTTTTCTTACAACTAAACATTTTCAACAATCAATCATAGATCATTAATATTTGTAATGTCTAGTTTTATTTGTCTCTCAATACAACAGAAAGAACATATAATAAATTGAATCTATTGCATTAGAAGCATGTAATAAATTGAATAAAAATTAATGTAAATATTTATCATTCAGTACTTTGGTATTGAATTGCAATATGACTTCTTAGTTTTTAAACAAGAAAAACCTATCCACAAAGACAAGAATCAGAAAATGAAATCGAACAAAAAAGAAGTAATTTTAACAACCGGTACGTAAATAAAGAAAAAAAAAATAATCTTCAATATACAGATATAGATTTAAATTGAAAAACAAAAACGAATTATGTTTTTAATCTTGATCGTTTTTTATAATTGCCAAATAAAATTTTTCCAAACGCTTGTCGAAAATCAGGTGCAAATATTGTATAAATCACAGGATTTAACATACTATTCAAATAACCCAACCATGTTAAAACACTAATAATTTTTTCATTTATTGTTAAATGAAATATTCCACATACAGTTTCTTCAATAAAAAATGGTAGCCAACATAATATAAAACAACCCATAACAACACCAAGAACTTTAGTTGCTTTACGTTCACGTTTAATATCGTTTTTTTTACGTGATAGTGATACTGGAGATTTACTCATCGGTATATTATTTGTATCTGTTATAACAATATGTGTATGAGGAAAACGTGGAGAACTTGATGGTGAAGAATTTGGTGTGGCTAATGGATTATTAATTGTATTAATTGGTATTGTTAAATCATTTTGATATGTTGATGTTAATAATGGTTGTGTTGATGGTATTGTATGATTTGTTCGTGAATGAAGTGGATCGACAGAATGTCTTTTAGGCTTTTTTTGTAAAAAACAAAACGATGTTGTTTTAAGTGATTTTAATTGATAATCATTATGATGATTTGTTGAAGTTGAATATGTTGATAAATTATCAGGTTCAATCTCATTTGAATGATGACTTATTGAATGACTACGTTTTAAAAATTTTATATGATTAAATGGTGAATGTAATCTATCCATATGATGATTTGGTGTTGATGATTGTGGTGAAGATAACATTTCATGTTGTTCATGAATTGATATAGGTGAAACAGGTGGATTTGTATTAAATGCTTTACGTCGTATACGAAATTTAGCTGCTTGAAAAATTCTCCAATAAATTATACACATACCAATAAGTGGAATATAAAAAGCTCCAACGGTTGAAATAATTGTATAAGTAACATTACCTATTATTTGACATTGACCAGATAGACGTCCTTGTTTATTACGAAATATAGGGAATGAATGAGAGCTTGAAATAAGAATGGAAATTATCCAAATAATAAATATAAGAACAAGAACGCGACCAGGTGTTCGTTTTGTTGCATAGTCCACTGATTAATTAAAAGAAAAAGAAAAAAGAAATTTTATTAGAAGACTATTTCAATATGTCTTTATGAAAAATTAACTAAATAGGTTTTTTTCCAGTAATGATTATTTTTAATCAAATTATAAAAATGACAGAATTCAATGTCTCGTTAGAAAAACTTGATATTCATCTAATTAACAATACAACATTATAAGTTAAGATGAAAACATAGTCGCTATTATCAAAGATGTATATTTAAATAACCTTTTAAAGTTTTTATGGATTTATAAATTAATAATTCTAGTTACTATTTTCAGCGATTGATTCGAGTGATTTTTTCAGTCAGATACACATCGATCTCGGTTAAACAAAAAGATTAAATTCAGGCAGTATAAAATAATATGATTGTAGTGTTTCACATTCAATTAGAGTGTATTGAATCGATTTCAAAAATTATCGAGTTCAGCATCGAACCGACGAACTCTATGCTAAAAGTAAGAACTATTTATAACTTGACTCTTATCAGATTATCATCAACACTGCATTAAAAATGTGTAGACTATACTACTCGCTAGATAAAAATAATCGAAAAACAGAACATTTCTTATCTTCAGAACAATTCCTGAGAACTAGCAAAGGTACATTCATGACAGTCTTCAATTCAAACGTTGAATCATCGATAGTGAAAAGTCAATATCTGAACTATATTGATTCGCTAAATTTTGACATGTCTAAAGATGTAATGTTGAACGCATGATAAAACTCTAGTGATCTTAGATTCATTTCAACTTAAAAATATGAGTAAACTGTGAGAACTAAGCCTTGCTTGAACGAGAAAAATCGAACTCGAAAATTTTGACCAATAGATATGGTTTTTTTGAACTTTGAAAATCTTTAGTCTATTTTTATAAAATTCATCTACTTTCATAAATTGGCCACCTCAATCGAAAAAAATTCGAAATCAATCCAAGATAACTAAAGTTTTATCATGTATTTACCATCTTCATCATTAGTCTCTACATGTATGCCTAGGTCAGTACAACTGATGATCACCATCACCGTTGCATTTTCTAGTCATGTCAAATAAAAG